TACGGTCTCTTCCACGCACCCAGCACCAACGGCGGTTTTGGGTTTTGGTTTTTCCCGCAGATCACAAGTGCTACAACAGCACGGGCGCAGATTACCGGGGCACGGTGAGCGTGACGCGCTCGGGGCGCCAGTGCCAGCCCTGGAACTCGCAGTACCCGCACACSCACAGCTTCACGGCCGCGCGCTACCCCGAGCTCAACGGGGGCCACTCCTACTGCAGGAACCCCGGCAACCACAAGGACGGCCCCTGGTGCTTCACCCTGGACGAGAACTTCAAATCGGAGCTCTGCGACGTCCCGGCCTGCGGTAACGGCTGAGAGGGGTTGGGAAGGGGTTGGGTCACATCCTGGGGGAAACGTGCACAAAGTGCAGTTTGGGGATCCCTGGGAGCAGAGCTGGAGGAAAGGCTGGCTGTCCCTGGAGTGACCTTTGAGACCTTTTGCTGCCCCTGCAGTGACCAAGTGGGGACATGGAARTCATTTCCTAGGGAATAGTCCAGCCCGGCTGTTCCTGACTCTCCAGATTTTTGTTCCAATCAGTACAATTCCCTAGGCCAAATGAAATCACAGAAACATGGAATTGTTTATGTTGGAAAAGCCCTCCGAGGTCATTGAGTCCAACCAGCACTGCCAAGGCCACCACTGCCCCATGTCCCCAAGTGCYACATCCAAATGGATTTTAAAACCCCCAGGGATGGAAACTCCACCCTGACAGGGCTGCACAGCCCTTTCCAGGAAGGAATTTCCCCAAATATCCAATCCTGGCCCAGCCTGAGGCCGTTCCCTCTCCTCCTGTCCCTGTTCCCTGGAGCAGAGCCCGACCCCCCCCGGCTGTCCCCTCCTGTCAGGGGTTGTGCAGAGCCACAAGGTCTCCCCTGATCCCTCTTTTCTCTCTTTTCTCCCCTTTCCCAGCTCCCTCAGCCCCTCCTGGTTCTCCATCCCCTTCCCAGCTCCGTTCCCATCTCTGGACACGCTCCAGCCCCTCCATGGCTCCTTGTGAGGGGCCCAAAAGCAGGGAGAGGGTTGGAGATGCACATGATAGAGCCCAGACTGTCTGCCTTCCCCCTGATCTGCCCTTTCAGCGAGAACATGATTTAGATCCCGCTTTGGCATCGATTCCCATCTTTCCATTAATTGAAAAAGACTTTGGAGCAGGCTCAGAACATGTCTCGCTGCAGGAATGTTCATAACCATAACCAGAAAAAATTTCATTTGGTTCTGGCTGTGGAGCAGGAACATCAAAGGTATCTCCTTTCTGAGGGGAAAGGTAAATGTTACTGTGACAACTTGTAGGCAACAGSGAATTTTGTGTGAAACTTTGAATTTCCACCCAGCATTTCTGGGTCCATTTGAATTTGAAATTTCCAGCATTTCTGGGTGCATTTCTGGCGTGTCCATGCAAATCTGTGTTTTAACTCGGCCTGTTCTCCAGGGTGTTATTTCTACATTCAGATAAAACAATCAGGAGCCATTTGTTCAGATCTTCCAATCATTTCTCCCATGTCTCTGAAAAGCAGACTGAAATGAGAGCTGAATCTCCCTTTTTATTCACTTTGCAAACCCAAAACACAAACTCCAAATGCAGCTCAGAGGAGTTGCCAAGATCACCTCTGATATTTAAACACGGCCTGAGCTCTGTTGGCAGYGCTGGTTTAAGAGTTGGAYTCGCTGATCTCTGAGGGCTTTTCCRACCTCAACAATTCCCTGATTTCCCCCAGACTTTCTGAGTTCTTTRTCTCCTCTGTTGTTATTTCAACAGAAATAATAAAAATTATTGTTTGAAATTCTTGTGCCGATCCCCTCTAGATGGGCTCTGAGATCCCAGCACACTTTTGGCTGCCTGGCCAAAATYTGAGTTTCAACTTTGCTGGGTAATAACTGAGATGGGCTGGCTGGGCTGGAGAGCCCCTGACAAAAGCTTTAATTACCAAAACCTCTCTCTGCCACCCTAAAAGGCACTCCTTGTTCCCTGGTTTATTATYGGGAACACAAACAGAGCGGGATCAGGTGAGCAGGGCCTGAATTGGTGAGCGCCAATTTGCATATTCAAACCAGAATAACCGGTGGGAGGTGCATTCTGCCGCCTGAAAGCGCCATTTGAGTCGTGTTTTAATCAGCATTGTGCGTTCTGCCTCTCYGGGACATGCCTGGATGGGAAAGGGTTTAATTAGGGTGGCTCCCAAGAAGCCCATTAAGCTAATGAGGCTTCTCAGTGGGGCTGCTCCTTAATAGGAATAATAATTGCCTTTGATGGAATGGCTCAGGTGATGAACTGGTGCCCAGGTCTCCTCTGCCTCGTGCTGCTGCTTTCTTCTCCTTTCTTCAACTGTATCTCCCGAGCTGCGAGAGATTTGTTTTATGGAAGTTTGGCTAATTCGAGCACGGGGCTCAGCAAAGCCTGGCCTAAGGAGGTTTGGGAGGACAGGGGAAGGGCAGCGAGTGAAATGTGGCCTCTCTGGGCACAGGGAAAACCTCATGGGATGGTGCTTTCATCCTCTCYTGATTYCCAGARGCTGCAGGAATGTTTGGRCTGCCTCTCCTCTCCACGGAAAACMGGATGGCACAATTTAATCCGGGAGGAATGATCRCAGTTTAATCCATGGGGGAGCAGAGGATGGGGTGAGGCCACAGAGGGGAGGGGTTATGCAAAGGGACAGCCAGAGCCACTTGAACTTTGCCTCTGTGACAATTTGAGCCGAGCCCAAGCTTTGGATCCAGTTCAAGTTTAATGAAGTGCATCAAAGGGATCTGTGGGAGCTGCTGAGCACTGGGATAAATCCAGCCTGGAAAACGCAGCCAAACAAACGGGAGTGACTCCGCAGGGATCATCAAACATTCCCCATGTCCCAGAGTCCCCAAGGCCTCCATGAGCATTCCCGGTTCCCTCGGGAGCAGCCTGGGAGGGAGTCTGGGAATCCTC